CCCAGGTTTGCAGCCAGTGGCTGATGGGTTCCGGCACGGGTCGAAATTCAGCGAAAGAACTACCCGCGCTGGCCACGAACGAATGGCAGAGGATAGGTGTTTATCTGCAATTTCCAACAGTGGCAAAAGGTATTTTTCGATTTCAAGTTGCTACTTGTAGCACATGCACTCTTGGGCCTTCGTAGGTTGCCAGCAAATACCAGCATGGGGCATGCGCTCCATCAGGGCCTGACGATCCCTGTGACAACAGCCCAACTCCTTGAGTTTTCTGTGGTCAGCTTGGAATAATTTCAGCGCTAGCTCTGCTTCGTCAGGCAGTGAATCGCTTTTTGGAGTGAAGGCTGTCCTGTTGCTGGGATCATGAAGGCATTGAGGGAAGAACAACCATCATCGAACTTACTACTTAGGACCACCGGGCCGCAGTTGCAAGGCTTTTCTCGGTAGCAGTATGCAAGGTTGAGGAGTTCCCGGTTATGAGTCATAGATGCAATGCGTGTGTGTCAGGGGCCATAGGGCACAAGATAGGGGCGGGCCTAAGCACCAGTTGTTGCATTGACCCGGCGTCCATTTCGGAAGCCGCTAGAGTTGGGTCATCTCCAAGCACGGGTAGCTTGTGGGAAACTTCACTTTCTACACAGGTTCGTGGAGGAAGTTATGCATTCCGTGTCCGAAATGTCTTTGCCGCTGCACTGTAGGACTGCAGGTGATACAAGACTGTGTGATGTGTCTGGGATCAGGTATCTGCGCCCAAAGGTCTAAGGGTAAGGACGGAAAGAGATTTTTTGAGAATACCAAGCCGCATGCGCCCTGGCACAATTAGCCGATGCTGCCTGCTGTGGAAGCTGCAGGGACCCAAAGCTGATTAAGTAAACTGAGTTCAGTAGATAAGAACCGCTCTACCTAGGAATCCGGTTAAGAAGGGTTTACATATTACTATTACTGTTCCTAGGGTTTAGGGGGAAGGGATGACAGAGATCGTGAATAGGGCTTTCTGGGCATGGCGAACTTTTGGCCCTTCCGCATTCCAAAGTGTTTTCCGCCAGCCAGGTATTTGAGCTCTTAATTTAAGTCAAGTTCCTTAACAGAAGCCCAGCATAGGGTCGTGAAAGGGGCCTGCTTGTTCCTGCTTTTAGCAAGCAATCATTTTTAGCATCCATCTACTTCTACTCTCAATGTAGGAGATATTGTGGCCACGCAACAGGTCCATGCGTTTTTTGACAGTCCGCACTCTAGGAATCGCATTCGCAATCAAGCATAACTGGCCCTATGCGTTCAAGGATATCAGCGTCAGCATTCAAAGTTGTCTCGGGTGAGCCGATGTTGTTTTCGGAGATTGCATTTGACACCAATGTTTGTGAGAGTGAGGTCGGAATCACTTGATTAGTTACAGTAACAAGTCTTGAAGGTGCGCTGGCCTTTTCTGCGGCAGCATTGCTGAGTCTGCAGTGACTCTTCTTCCCCCCGTGTCAGGGCACGGCATCTCCGATTTCAGTCTGAAGGACTGCATGAACCCCATGCCTTAGAAGGACGAAGTCGCTCCATCGTTACTCGTCATCCCAAGCAGAAATGAAGGGAAAGCCAAAGCATCTCCCTAAAGCCTATTAGTCTATAGGGAGAACAAGCGACAGCATTTCCTATCCCACGTCCCGAGCGAACTTCGGGTCCACGCAGTCCTGATCAAAAAACATCCCCGTTTTGCAGTCCCCTGCGGAGATTCACGAGACAATTGTTTGGTTGCAAGTACTGGTTCCGGTTCCCCAATAGCTCAAGTTCAGACAATGGCGTGCATAGGCCAGTTTGGGGACTCCCAGGGTCATGGTACTCAGTTTCAGGGAGGCGTAGTGAAGGTGATTGGGGGCGTGGGCTGTACCTTCTTCTAGGATTGTGCAAGGTTGCTGCCAAGACCTCCAATGGGACCAAAGAAAAAGGACCTCCAGACTCCAGCCCCTGGACGTAGACTTCGTCGGGTCTTAACCCAGCTGGCAATTCTATTTTGCGATCACCTGCTGGGGGACGAGAGGGGATGCTGATCTTGGAAGAAGCTGCCCGGATATGTTTTTTGAACAGGGTGGGGCTTTCTAGCCCTAAGCAGGTCATAGACTCAGACATGGAGGTTCCTGGTGCTTAAGGTTGGGAGGGGTGCTGTGTCAGCTCCAACTGTGAAGCACGTTAAGGTTAAGGGTTTAGGGTTTAGGGTTTAGAAGAAAGACTTCTTGGACAAGGGCTGCAACACTCATCTGCTATCCTATCACGCTATGTTAGGCTCCCTCTTCCCCGATTATTGGATCCCAACCAATGGGAGAGGGCCACCAAAAGAAGCGGGAGAGATGTGGAGACATTAGGTTACTTCCCCCATCCCTTTCTCAAGAGGCATGAGGGATTCAAAGCTACCTATAGAGCTATGATGCATGTATTGGGGCCTGAACTCTACAACATTCCTATTTGCGGATGCTTTGCGCTTCAAGTCCTGCCCTGTACGTTTCCAGCCACGTCTAAAGACTCCTACGCCTCGAGGCTGGAAGCTCAGCGAGTGGGTTGCCACACCGGGGATAATGGAAAAGAAAATGGAAACTCTTCAAGTGTATTGGGGTTATATGGGGATAATGGACAAGAAAATGGAAACTCTTCTGGTGTATTGGGGTTGTATGGGGATAATGGACAAGACAATGGAAACTCTTATAGCCTAGACTACTGGAGTTTCTTGGAAACTTTGGGTTCAGCATGTGGAGCTTAGCCTCAGGGGCTCCACGAAGCGTTAAGAAGATGAAAAAACAATGCTCTGATGTAGCTTGTAAGCGGCCGTAGTAGTCAGGTCTTGGATGATATGAGAGAGCTGGTTTGAGTTTGTGCGTGGCTTAGCTTCTATATAGAAGATTTTGATATGGATTCAAAAGCTAATCCTGCGCAGGAATTTCTACAGGTTCTCAGTCTGTATGCGGTGAAGTGTATTGCCACGAGGTTACACAAGTATTCTCCCGGTTGCATGAGATGAGGGTGATGCAGAGGGTGGATGCCCTAAACTCTACATAGCAATTCGGGACAGTCGTTTTGCAAGCCAGTCGCTGGGCCTTGCCTCTCCTCGATAGGGTCGCCGACACCTCGCTCACCGCATTGAGGCCAGGTTATATACGATAAGAAGTTTCAAGAACATGCAAATACATATATGTAACAGTATCATTACTGGGGTATAATGATGTCATTATAGAGTAGGGCAAGGTCATACGATACACTAGCGTTGACTCGGATGCCATATCATACCACACTCGAGATCATGCAACTACTATGACTTTCTTCAGTCCAAGTTTTTCTCACCGGCGGCAACACCCCGGCCTCCCATGAACACCGAGATTCTGCAAGTATTGCAGGGGTTCCCACTTGGAGGGTCAGGGGGACTTAGTAAGTAGGTTAATAATGGGGATAATTAGGGTTACCATATGGGTTATAGGGGATATTTGCCTACTTACTAAGTCCCCCTGACCCTCCAAGCAGTGAAGGGCTGGCTTGTGCAGGGACCATTTCCCAACTGTAAAACCGGAAGCCTTTCATTAGAAGAAGAACTTCTAGATTTGGGGTTTACTGCATGGTCGTTAGTAGGGAATAAAGAAATATAATCCTTATATATAATATACACCCAATGTTCCCTACTAACCCCCAGTAAGATTAGTGTGCAGGGGTTTTGGAGTTCCCGTCATACCCCAAATACAACGTAATGTAGACACTTGATTAATAAATCTAGTCCTCTTAATGGGGGTAATACTAGGGATCCTAATATTAAGGCCCTTAAAAGGAGGAGGTTTATGAATCATGCGTCTCTAGTAATTTTGACTTCCTTTTCCATTCTGATAAGGGACTGGATTGTTGTAGAAGTCTGGAAACAAGCCCGAATATTGATTGTGTTTTGCGTTCAATGTCTTTCTACGGTAGGTTGGCGCGTCTTCTGGAGTTGAGCCTACTGCCGGCATGTCAGTTCATTCCAAATCAGATGTATCGTGTTCAGATTATGAAAATCTCAAGAAAAGCCTATATTTGGAACTCAATGTCACTTGGGACCAACACATACAGTCGCCCTAAGGCTATACATTCCCTAAAGAAAGGTCAACTCATAACCAGGTAATATCCGCTGGTCTCTTGCAGCATGTAAAGCCAGGATTCTAGTCATTCTAGTCATATGTATATTATATATACATGTATATATCTGTCTGTATATAGATATATATACATATTCCACGGCCAATGAGGGGAGCGTGCCTGCGGCGAGCCTATCGACATCAGACCTCAAGCAAAGAGAGTGCAGCAAGTATGGGGGGCTTCTGGTGTGTTTCTGGTTTGGTTCTGCATAAGGGTGACACAGTTGTCTGACAGTTGGTTGAACGAGCCGTGTTGCCTGGCACAGGGTCTATGCCAGAAGCAACTTTCCTGAAGAAGCACCAGGTGTAGTTGAGGCAGCTTGAAGTTACAAGTTCCACGGATTTCCATACGCAAAGAATCTCTTTGTTCAGTTGAAGTGAGTGTTGGGGGCTTAACTTGTAGGAAGAGTTGAGCTCCTTGCATTTCTGGGCCGAAAAGTAAGGACTTAGATCACATCTGGGCACAAAGGGACCTTCAAGGACCTTTCAATGGGTGCCGCATACCAAATCTTCTTCAGGTGTCTTGAGTTAGTTCAGTCCAAAGTAATCTAGGGGCTGATCCCATTAGAACAGGATTTGGCAGTATAACGGAATTACACTGATGATTCTTCAGGCTTCAGCTGCAGGCTGGGTCAGTTTTTGTTCACAGCTTACTGCCGTTGTTACGGGTACACCATGACGCATCTGCTCTTGCCAGCAGAGGAGTTCCATGTAGTCCTCGGGTTGCAGCCCTTGCGTGGCACAGGTTGGTGTACGGGTAGCGGTGACCGTGGTTCCCAAACATAGTGAAGACCTGATCCTTTCTCTTCTGGTCTTCCACAGGGCGGTGCATAGCACCTTCAAACTTAGTACTCTTCTTTCTTCCGTCTGGCGATGGCGGGGCTGTGGCTGCAAGCGCTGCTCTTCGGCCTCTTCTCGGCGCTCTCCCTTCCGCTTGGCGCCCTGCTGGGGATTGCGCTGGCACCAGTCTCGAGCAAGGTCACAGCCCGATGGATGGCCTTTGGCTCTGGCGCACTGGTCTTTGCCGTGGCCACACAGCTATATGGCGAATCGCTCTTCCGTCTGGCAGCCTCCACGTATGGCCCGCATCCTGGATGCGGCCCTTCTTGCAAGGACCACTGCACCAATGTGATACTGCAGATCATTAGCGCAATGATTGGGGCCTGTCTTTATCTGGCCCTGAACCGCTGGCTGGAGGGCCTAGGAGAGCGGGCGCCTCGAGATGCAGCGATCACCACACGGCTGGAGCCCATCTGCGACTCGAGCGTGGAGATGGGCGCTGACGTCCAGATCCCACCTATCGCAGCGCTCTCGTCCTTTAGGAGAGCTTCCACACAAGGGGCACGAGGGGAGATGGCCAGTCCCAGTGCCAGCAGTGTGGCTTTGTCCATGTGGCTTGGCATGATGTTGGACGGCATCCCAGAGGCCTTGATGCTCGGGTTTATGACCAACGAGGGTGCTGTCACGTTCTCATTCCTAATCGCCATTTTCATTGCCAATTTCCCTGAAGCCTTCAGCGGTGCCAGCCTGTTGCTTGAAAACCGGATGCCCGTGAGCAAGATTATGGGGATGTGGCTGGTGCTCTTTGCGTTGACTGGGCTGCTGGCCATGCTTGGCTCCCTTCTGATGCCTACAAATGTGGCACGAGGATCGGACCTGGCGCGGAAGCGAGACAAGGTCACCGCTACTGGGTTGCTGTTAAGGAACTTAAATTAAGTTACCATAATGGGTAGATATAGTAAATAATAGGGTTTCCCCAATATAATAGCTTAATTTAAGTTCCTTAACAGCAACCCAGGCTATAATGGAGGGCCTCACAGGTGGCGCCATGCTCGCAATGGTCTCCACTGCTATGCTGCCCGAAGCCTTCAAAGGCGCCGGGGACCGAGCCGGGCTTCTCTTCGTGCTGGGCTTCGGCCTCTCAGTGTGGATCACGTGTTTGGGCTACCGGTTTGGGAGCCCCCAGGAGATGTGAGGAGAAGGTACAGCGCTGGCAGCGGTAAAGAAGGCTGGTCCTTGGCGCAGGGATCAGGGATTATGAAAGGTTTGGGCTTAGACGTTCTTTAAGGAACGCCTTTGGTGTTTTTCTTTCGTGCTGCTAGTGGCTGTATGAGGCGTCCTGCAGGGGTTGTTGACAGTGACTGCCAGCTAGTGTATTTAAATGCTGTTAGCCCGATAAGTCGGAAGAGCCTACGCATGTGCATCATCGCGCACTTGCATTGTTCATTGCTTGGGCCAATTTGCAAAAAAAAAGTATGCGCATGTGGAAGGAGGGCCCAAGAAGAGGACCCGCATGTTCATGTTTGAGAAGACACCATGTCCGGCAATTCTGTGCTTCATGGACTCGTCATGGACGCCTTCCATCTCTCGGTAGTCTGCGCCGGCCCACCACGCATTGGCTTACATTGGAAGTCCATTGGAACATGAATGGGAGCGGCTGCTACATTATTATACACGCGGCCATAAAAGTGATGATGCAGCCTGCAGTTGCAGCTGAAAAGGGTCAGTTGTATCAAGGCAGCAGGCGGCAAGAAAACCAGAACTCAACTAGTTTCACCCACTCACCAAACTAGCGGAAACCTTGTTTCAACTGGGTAGCTTTTCATGACCTCATGGACAGCTGAAGAGTTCTTCACCCCAACGAATCCACAACATTCCACAACAAATTCAAAGCCTTAACCCTTTCCCAAAGCAAGCCCTCAGCCAACAGCCATGGCGGCATGTGTGCACGCCTTCATGGCCTCAAGGAGCAGGCCGCGATGAACTAGTTGGCAGGCCTAGGCTCTTGTGATGGATGGTGTAAGTATGTAGTGGGAAGAGGGTTTTGTTTTGAGTACACCTTGAGGGCCTCTAGACTCTAGACCTCTAGACGATGATGACCTGGATGGCAGGATTGGGAGGATACGTTCTGGATTTGGGCTTCAACGGTGCCGAAGTACTTGGGCTGACGTTCTGCCTTTGAGCATACGTTCCAAAACCAGCTTTCTGCTGTGCCCAACAAATCTCGTGAATCTGAGCTCCTATCCGATCGTTTGCAGGTTCGGATGTGGAAATCTTTCCCATTCCAACAACTTTTCTCGCCACCTCTTTGGAGCCCCTGCTGCAGGCGGCGCGCATGCTGAGCTTGGGAGAATGGGCGTGGAACTCATTGGGTTGGCCAAAGCCGAATGGCGTTCCCGTGAATTAGCGTGCCCATGGCTAATGCAGGATTCGAACAACCTTGGACTTTGGAGACACATGCGGTCCAATGAGTTCATACTGCAACCTAATTAACCATGATTACGTAATTGCGTAACCCTCTTTCTTACGTGAGCATCTTGAGTGTTTGAAGCAGGCCCAAGTTTCAAGTTGTGGATCTCGAGCCTGGGTCCCATCTCTATGAAAAGGACCATATAATACGTATGCAAGCAGGGCATATGCCTGAAGAAGCTACCCCAATCTCAAGGAAATCTGATACATGCAGTGGCATGGAGACGTCTACCATGTTGTCATGAGCTTGCCAGCTGTGAAGGCCCTTAAGTTTTAGGCCTGATGTTCGGTTTGGGTTTCCGTGGAAAAACTCTCCTATGACAATGCTTCACCCAACCAGCCTATACTAAACCCTAGACCCCTAAACCTACACATTTGGTCTTCAGGACGTGGACAGTAACCCAGGCTGTGGCAGCTTAGAGCATCCAAGCAGAAACGATGGGACGGATTTAGGGTTGTAGGGAATAAGGGAACATATCTACATATATATATATATGTCTATAAATATTATATATATTCTACAGGGATTTTATAGGGATCATTTTCCCCCATTCTCAGGAACAAGGCTGAACGCCATTCGAGAGGCATGCCGCCTTTCGCCGGATGAAAGGAACGAGGACGCCTCGATCGACTTTCAGGGGGCAGTTGGAGGGTCAGGGGGACTTAGTAAGTTGGATCATAATGGGCATGATCAGAGTTACTAGATTTGATCCACCTCCTTCCTAAGTCCCCCAAGCAAGGTTTAATAAAGGCTTCTGGAAGCAGTGCCAGCACTGGGTTTAAATTGGACAAATCACCCTCGACCCAGTATTAAATGCTTCTTCCAGCTTGTAGAATTCCTTATTTCCTATAAGAGGCCTGGCATATTGGCCTTACATACTGAGGGTAGGGTATGTAAGAAGGTACCTGGTATTCCAGGATCTGCGGGTTTGTTGGCTCAACACCAGTGAACACTCAAATTTTCTGGAAGTACACCAGGAGAACATCAACGACGTACTAGAGTTCGTCTGGGTCCGAGAGCCATATTGCCGACTCTGATGGTCGCCCATTTCCGATGCGTATGTTTCATCTCGGTGTTCTTACAGATTTGTCAGTGGGGCTTAGGGACGGAAAGTTTCAATCCAAGCGCCTATGGCCTTCGATCATTGGCTATAAAGATGGATTGAGGCTTGTAGGCTGCAGCTTTTGAGACCTTTGCCCTATGGCCGCCCAAGGCAGGACAGCCAGCTAGGTGAAAACATGAACTGCGGCCAAGGTGCGAGATGTCAAATTCTTCGCAAAGCTCACCAACTTGCAGCAGAAGAGTTTGTTGCAGCCTCGCGGGTGAGCGTTGAGGATATTTAATGGCATCATGGCGCTGTGATCAAGCTGCCGCTCCTGTTGCCCCTCCTGCTGCTGATGCTGCTGCTTCTGCTGAAGCTTGAATATGCCATGAGATCTAGACTGCGCTATCGAGAAAGCACAGCTGCAAAGTTCCAAAGGTGTAAGACCATGACCATCGAGTCCTTCGACCCTCGCCAGAACATCTTTGAGGTCGGCGATGTGGGGGACAAGTAGGCCACTCAGACGGGTGGAGGTCAAGAGCCTAATACAAAAGCATGTACATTTGTTTCGGGTGTTCAAATCTAAGGCACGGGTGCATGCAATCATGCTTGCCTGTGTCTGCATGCGTAAGTTGAAGCTTTTACAGTGCTAGCGAATGTTAGTATGCCTCGCCCAGCACGCGCGAGTGTCAGATATTTGGGGAGGCCTACAGGCAAGACCATCTTCTCAGATCACCGTGGGGAATGAAGTGGAAGGATTGGTTCTGAGCCGGGTGGAATCGAAATCAGAAGCCGGCGGAATCCTGCAATCTTCTGGATAGCCAGGACCACGCTCAACAGCCAGCCTTTATCCCAAAGTTGTATATCTGGCACCTGTAATTACACGTAAAACACACTCAAAGACCATTCCACATAATGTGGCGCGCTTTTTTCCGGGGGGTCCACAACAATTGAGCTTTTTTTTTTTGGTTGCGCTTGTCTACCGATCCTTAAACACGGAAATAACTCCTGGGATGGTTTTCAAAAAGTGCTTCCCACTGCGTGCGCGGAAGCACGCACAAGGTTTGCGGAAGCATGAGCTCGCGGAAGCTTTGGGGTCATATTGGGATAATGGAAAAGAAAATGAAAACTACTATGAGACACTGTTCGCGGAAGCACCTGGCAAGAAAATCATCGCGGAAGGGTCCGTGGAAGCAAGGTGTTTCGAGGTGCCGAGCAAGAGGAAACAAGTCTCGGCGGAAGCTCGCTGGCGCAAGGGTTGTTGCTTCAAAAAAATCAATAGGAACATAAACCACAGCTCAATTTCCAGCTTCACAAGATTGAACCTGCTATTTTTGTGCGGGTCACCTTTGTGTCAAGTATTGGGGTCCTGAGCCTCTTCAAGTCCTCAAGAGAGAGGCTTCGCTTTAAATTGGACATGAAGTGGCCCACGGGTTGGGGAGCCCAACTTTAAACGGACGCAGGAAGCCCCGTCCAACATTACTTAGGTGACATTACATAGCCCATGGAGCCGCACCAGAGAATAGTTGCAAGTGTCCTTTATTTAGGGTTCAAGGTTTAAAAGTTTAGGGTTGCGTATTCGAGGGGGAACATATTGACTGAGAAAAATGCCACTTGACTTCGGCTGGCTGAGGTATTATATCATCCTCACCGGCAGCGTCAGCGTGCAGGCGAGTCAGCGCTCTGGTTGTGTATCTATGTCAGCCATGTTCGCCTCCTGCATGTAGCTAAATTTAGATACCTGATGTAATCAACTCCACCGCTTAGTGGCATAAGAGCTTGTTTCTCGCAACAGATGTACTTCGTGCTTCCTGTCGTACTTTCACTCGGATGATGGGAATTACCGTCATACTTTCTTCACTTGTGACCTAGACCATACAAGATGGATGAATGATTCACCCATCCCTCCTGATCTTGGTACACTTGCGATGGCTTCTAAGGTGCTCATGGCATTAATACGGTCATGAAAACCAGTAGTAACAGCAGCGGAGACTGGAAAGATAGGGTGAGCAGTTCACGGGGTGTACCTCACACGCGCACTATGCGCTTGTACTTAATAACTTAATAGTTCTCATTCTCCTGCTCAACCCTAAACCCAAACAAGCACATAATTCTGCAGCACTGTGACCTGCCAGTCCTGTCACGAAAGCTCCAAAGCGCTCCCAGCACTCAGTGATTGAGCAGAGCAATAATTCGAGGTCTTAGTAAGCTATATGTGGTTATATAGGGGTATATAGGGTTTAGGGCTGCTTCAAAAGGTATTGTTCGGTTGCCTGGAAAGGGGTGTGTAGGATGTCTCAGTGTAAGGGTGCGTCCACGGTTTAGTTGCCCGAATGTGTTTAATTTGCGCTTCCCCAGCCCCCCACAAATGAAGGTGCCCACCACTCACAACTTTGCAATTCAAAGCGACCTCACCCGACCTCACCCCAAATTGTGGATTATATAGGGAATAGTACCAAGATGGCCTTAAATTGGCAAATGAAACTATTCTAAATTACCCTGCAACGCGTACCACACTTCAGAGAACGGCCTTGCGCTGAGTTTGATGAACTGCATGCCAAGGTTCCCGTGCCGAACGCACCGTGCCCAAATGGAATCCACACGGCAAGGCGTGCCACCCAGTTATATACACCAAATGGGAGTTTCCCAAAATTAGGGGTACTTTTTTGGGGGTCCCAATAACGAGGATTAGGACCAAATACCCTAGCATACTCAAGCCATAACTCTAGCTGCACCCCCGAAAGATCCTCTGTTTCGGTCGTTGGACTGCTACCCACCGGTTTCACGCATTAACCTTGCAGCGTGGGTCACTGCAATGCTCTAATGAGCCTTGAAGACGGCGCAAAATTTGTTCGCTGGGTGTCCGGGGTGTGCATCAAGTAGCAGTGAGAGTGGAGGTACAAGCCCTTCCTTGTTTGAGAGGTGCGGGAGAGCCATTTCTTTACAGGTGGTTTGTAGGGAATTGAATGAAGAGAACCCCTATATAACCTATTCCCTTATTCCCTACTAACGAGCAGTAAGTTTCTTGATCAAGGACGTTAGCAATTCAGATTTGAAGGCTTCTGCCACGCAGGAATGATCATAATTTGCATCTCCAAGGCCCACTGGATAGAGCCAAAAGGCTTCATTCTGGCTATTTGCCTACCACTCCGCGTAGGGATTGAAAGAAGGCAGGTCGCGCATACATATTACGGGGGAGGACCGCATCAAGGGTTGCCGAGGGCATGAAGGCATCATAGAATTCTGCAGCAGAGGACAGGTCCATCATGACTTCAAGGGAAGCCCCCTTGGCTTGGTAGTCCCCCTAATGGGGGACCCCAATACAGACACCAAAATACTATAGCCATTATTATGGGCACCCCCTCAAAAAGGTACCCCTAACTGTGGGAAACCCCCATTTATGTAATCGCAACTACGCAGGAAAGCTAGCCTCTATGATACGGATCCCGTCATTTCCCAGGAGACAACAAATCACACACCAGGTGCGATTGCAAAAATCGCCCCCTTGAAACGACCGTCTTCCTAGCCAAGGCAATGAGTGCTTAATTGAACTTGATGAGTTAAGGGTTTGTAGTTTGGAGTTGCAGAGTTGGGATTGTTGGCTATGTTTGTATGACGCCTGCATGAGGATATCCTTCCTTGTTGCTTCGCTACATTGAAGGTTTCCACGAATAGGTGACCTCAACAGGGACCCTCACACACGAGAATCCTTCTTCTAGGGGCCCCCCAAAAAATCGCCGGAATCGCAGGAAATGCTAAGCCCTACCTAGACCCGCTCGAACCCGAAACTTTGCAGGTTGCATTTGAAAGCCCGGTCTTCGCCAAGCTTGTAAAAACCTCCAAGTTGCCATTAAGGTGCCTGTATTGTTTTGCAAAAGCTCATATCTTGTCAGTGGGCGTACGCACTTAACAACCGGTTTTGTTTTGCAGTGCCTTGCAGATTTTAGTTTCGTCCTTCTCTGGGTATAAACCACTGACAACATGATCCCGGTTTCCATTTCATGTTTCATATTCTTTCGCATGTGGCTCTGCATGGTTGGGGTTCTGGCCTTAAAAAGGTCCGCTGATTATTGGAAAGTGACATCCCCTACAGTCCATGTAAGGACTCCTAATTATTGAGAACAGGTTCTCAGTAGGGAGTATAAGGGAATATCATCTCTAAAGAATCCCTATTTAATATATTACCGTATTTGATACTACGAACCCGTAAGTTAAGTCAAGGCTAAGCCATTGACTCTTGCTGCTTCACCTGACAGCGCCGAATGCATGCAGCACATCCATGGTTCTTACTGTGGTAGGGAAGAACAGAATATAATCCCTCTATCATCCCCATATACCAGCTTATCTTATTTCCCACCTCAAAGCTCTGCGGAGCAGAAACTTCACAAGATGTGTAGTACAGGTCAGCTACCGCATTCCAAGATGAATATTGCAATTGCCAAGATGGGGGCTCCTGAAAGTTATTTCTACAATTTTACATGATCCCTGATCTTTGGAATTCTTCTGCTATTCGGATATATTCGATGCTCGTGTTCCCTTGGGCCACAAAATCTGTCAACGTTTGAGCATCAGGGAAGTGGATTCGGTGAGCTGGCGCTCCAGTCAGATCAGCCAAGGATCACCTGCTGGCTGATGTCTTTGGGGTTGAAGGCAAACTACGTTGGTTACCAAGCGACTAGCCAAAGCAGGCATTGGGGTCAGCATGTTATGTTGGCGTGATGGTTAACACAAGACCAAATATGCAATGCCACGTTCATGAGCGAATGTGCCGTAATCTGTTTCTAATACTGTAGATGGGGGATGCTATACAGGGTTTAGACGGGGTGATTACCAGGGGTGATACCGTAATTGTATAGATCAGTTGGACCTGGCACATAGGGAATTGTAGGCCTACTGCCGGGGCCATGAATGAAGGAGACTTCATAGGATTCTGCGGGCATCATTGGGCCGCGCAGGTTGGCCGCAAAACTGGGTGTCCTCTATAGTGAGATCCTTCCGTTAGAGCTGGGAGTATTTGGGAGGGGGTGCTCTGGATCTGCAGACATGGCCGGACAGTGTGGAGTTCAATCAAACCCGGATCCCATCTGCTAGGACTTTCGCAAGTCTTTATAGCGGGGGCTCTGTCTTTATGTCGTTGTTCGGATGTTTTTTGGGCACATTCATACTTGTGCCTAGAACCCCGCCTTGTAAATGCACCGCATGGAGAGGATAACCTGAGGCCGATCAGGCATCCAGGTACAAGCCGCTATTGCAGGCTGCTGCAATCCTCAAATCGTTGAAGAATCGGTATGGAAGCCCGGAAGCCCTGCAAAGGAGTGCCACGATCTTCACCGGCGCAGGGGGCCCAGTGTCTGCTAGTGTGTGGCCTAAAAACAGGAAGAGCATGCGAAATTGGGTCTGGGTGACAAGGTTTGAAGGGCTACATATGCTCACAGGCTTGAGGCAGCAGTCCATGCACCTAGCTGGCTGCGCTTGGCCCCAGCAAACGCATAACAACCAGATTGGCTGCAGAATTTGAATAGGAGGTATTTGAGCAACAGAATGTTTATGATTGGTTGTAGGGTAATGTTTGCCTGACAATAACCTGTCTTCCCCCCCCAGAAAACTTGCTGCCTTTTTGGTTAACGGAAGGGGAGGTCGCAATATTAAAACCAAGGGGTTGGGTAGGACCAGGTAGTGCTTCTCATAATCATAGTAGGACAAGCAGAAGGGAATATATTAACATAACATCGGGACATTTTTGGCCGGACAATGTTGCTGTTGCCACAGGCTCCGACCTGGTTAGAAAGCAAACGAATAGATTATTGCCACCCTCTTTATTAATGGTAGGTTAGCATTACTCGGCTGGAAATGTGTAGCCCTCCAACCTGGAGAGACCAAAGCTCCTTCCTCACACTCTAAGCCCCGTCAGTTACTTCGCCTCCCTTGGTCATGTTCCCATGTTGCCTGCCACAAGCAAGTACTGCTCCGGGCAGGAGAAGACGGAAGTGTTGGTCATCACCCGGTGCGACTACGAAATGTATGTCAGCACCTGTCAGACCTGACATCTGACAGTTGGAGTCGTCCCAAGGGTTCCCTAAACCCTAAGCCCTAAACCTAAACCATGATAGTAGTTTCCATTTTCTTTTCCATGATCCATATATAACCCCTATTATATACTCCAATATTACCCCAATGGGTTTGTTGGAGGTTGAGCCTTAGCAGTGTGGTCTGCTCAAACCACTTCCCCAGCAGCTTGGGACTTTACGACTTGGCTGTGGCAGTGTTCCTTTTTCGTTCTGGTTCAGCTGTTTGTGTGTGTGTGTGTGGGCAGCGGGCTTCTGAGGGTATATAGGGGCTTAAGGTTTAGGGACCCCTTGGGGTAATATTGGAGTATACATTGGGGGTCATATGTGGATACTGGAAAAGACAATGGAAACTACTATGATGGTTTATATGGGCTTGTGAGCGAAACTCGCCAGAGATACGGCTTCGGGAGTGCTTCAGGCGCAACCACATCGTGACCCCCAAGTAACATTGAATCCTGGCAGACCCTGAAGATGTGCAGTACGGTAGATGAAGCTAGTTCGCTGTAAGAACTCCAGGCTTAAGAGTTCCAGGATCGGAGCGCGTAAGGTCTTTACAACTCAGAATCAGAGACGTCCATCCTCCCGACCCTCAAGCCCACATCCCTTAGACACCCCAAAGCCCCAAGTCGCAAGCAATGGGAAGCGGTGCCTGCAGCGCAATGCGTTTCTTACAGCCGTTAGTATGCAGGCTGGGAAGCTCCACAAGTCGAACCCTCAGCCGTGCTTCTGGGACCCCAGCCGCGCGTGATAGGTTTAGATCTTAGGTTTTAGAAGATTGGTGTTTGGGATTCAGAAGTTGTGGGCTCCATGTTGGGGAGTTCAGGGTTTGGGTGTTTTTCTGCTTAGGGTTAGGGATTGGGCTTCAGCGTTTCGGCATGAAGAAGCACTGCTTCTGCCATGTGCTGATCAAGACCAAAATCCCACGGCGTTGATGGAAAGAAGATCTGGGGGCCACTACTTTGAGTCAGGGGGACTTAGTAAGTAGGTTCATAATGGGAACAAATAGGGATACTATATGGATCAGAAGTGGTTATTGGCCTACTTTACTAAGTCCCCCTGACCCTAAGAGTACGTCGACATGGCCAAGAATGCTATTGTAACTCATGTATATGTGGCATTCGAAGCCCTAAGATTCAAACACCAAGCCCTAGGCCCCAAACCCTACATGGTAGTTTCCCAAAATGAGGGGGCCCCAATATAGACCTCAGCATAGTATGGTATCGTAGTCTTTATTATGGTGACACCCAAACTGGTAATCCTAATTCTGGGAAACTCCCACATCCTCAAACCTGAGCCCTGAGCACTTTCTTTTGAAGACACCGACAGCTGCGAGCCGTGCATGTCAGCCTAACGCCCTAGGCTCTTCATCGAGCAGCGTGTGAAATTCCTGAGGCTTCCAATGGAAAGGTTTAGGGTTAAGGGGTTCGGGTTCAGGGTTTAGGGCATGTTGGCACTCTGCCTTTTTGCGTAGCGTAGGGCATTGCTGTAGATATGGAGATGATTGTACGGATCCAATGCCTGCTTTTAAGTGCCAGTAAGTCTTTGCTGGGGTGTTGGGCTTTGGGTGGCTTTGTCCGGCTTATTTGTTTGGAGGGTTGTGCGGAGCAAGCATCCATGCATTAGCAGAAACATTTGTGAGGATTTGCTCCAGTGCTGCGTGGCCAGCCACGACTTTTGCAACTTGTCCAGCTGCCGAAATCAAGAACAGTTGGTGCCGCTTTGTGCAGGCTATCAGGAGCCGTTCCAGAAAGTGTAACCACACCATGAAAGCAAGCAGCTCCTTTGTAGCAGCCCCATCTTAATCCTGAAGAACCCTGAAAGGCAGTGCCCGCTGATTGAGCAGGCGCTGCAGCAAGGCATGGCATGATTTTGCAGGCTTTTAAAGTTTGCGGCATAGGATGTAGGGAATCAATTCAAAGATAGGTACAGGGCTTTGTCTTTTTTTAGTTAAATACCAATATTCTTCGGTGATCGTGTGAATTTAATTGGTCCGCTCGGGGCGTCCACGAAGATTTGTTTCGAAGCTTGATGCTCAGAAGGTGAAGATAACATGCATGCAAGTCTGACAACAGGCATGGCTTAGGTGGACCCCCACCCTGTAATTGTGGCTATAAGGGTACCACTATTACAGGGTGGAGGGTTCCTCCTAAAGCATGGCGAAGTTGAAGGAAGAGCCTGCAAGCCCATTCCTTTCAACCTTTCAGCTGCCATACCGCAAGCTTTGCACTTTGAATGTGCATATGTGCTATAGTCTAAACTGCTTAAAGGGGGGTTATATAGGGGATTATATAGCTATAGGGGTTATTAAGGGGGATACTAGGAGTTTAGACTATGGCTCATATGCTGAAAGATCCAAGCCTGTAAGGCTTCAACCCCTAGAATCCAACCAGCAGGCCTCGTGTCGACTGCAGATATTGCCTCCATGGCTCCTTGGATATTGTATTTTAGGGCTTAGGGTTTGGGAGTATTCTTGGGGGTTTTAGTAGGGAATACGTGGGGTTAAGGGTTTTGGCTCAGTAGGGAATAAGGGATTGTATTGCGTTCTTCTCTACTACGCACAAGTAAGTATTGGGGGGTATTCATTGTTGGGGGGGTATGTGGGGTTTTGTCTTCAGGAGGGGTTCTAGTGCTTTTAGGGCTAGGGGATTGCTAGGTTCCTGTCGGATTTTTCTGCTAGCGCGAGCTGGTGTTTTATGATAGATCTTTTTGAGCTTTCATGCATTTTTGTGGTGCCTACTGGCTTTGCGAGAGTGAATTCTCTGGGTTAGTTCCTCTGATCTTTTCCTCACAAGCTGGATCAGACGTCTTCACTGGCTTCACTGGGATGAAGCCGAGACGCCGTCTACTTACATACCAGCTTTCTGTTTTACAACGAGACCAATATCACGATTCCCGCTTTATCTCAAGGAGATCCTTACGAATCTGCCGCAAGATAAGGGGTCCTGCAAGGTTGGTGGGTGAGTGTACAGTGCTTGCATGTGTGGCTTGTGCAGTTTCTTTTGCAAGATACCACCCATTCCCAACTGAGAAATGGAAAGCGACAAGAGTTATCAAACGCGTAGCGGTACATCTTGGGCAAATGGTAACACAGCTCAGGCAGGGTTGGCATTGAGCACATGATATGTGCTAACGCTTTTTGCTAGTAAGTTTGTAGCTTGGCTGTTGCCAGCCTGAATTGGCCCTGCGCAGCCCTAGTAACATCATTGCAAGAACGTGGGGCTAGTCAAGGGCATTGGGCATTTTCTTTTGGCCTGTGAAATTATACGCTGAAGTCATAAACATTGGGCATTTATTGTTAATCATCAGAGCAAATAATGAGTATGAACAGCTTAAGACAGGTTCATTGTACAGGGCCTAAGTAATTACCTAGTTTTGTCCTAGATTCCTTGTGTAGGTATAAGTATAGTGTAGAGCACCTCCCGGTCACTTTGTGGCGGTCTCTGTGGGTGTCACAGGTTCTTCGATCTGCCCAGCAACAGCCCGGTACTTATAACACATGTGTCCAGAATCCAAGCCTGTCTTGACTATCCCGGATACCCGGCACAATCTCCACAAGCGCAGCCGCTACATGATCCCAGCTTACATTTCCTGTGCAGTTGGACTTTCCATATGACTTCCATTTGATTCTTCATGAAACCTAAACCCAAAATCTTAGACAAGCACTGCGGTGGCCATCTCATTTTCCATCCTCTTTTTTCATCCCAACGCCCCAGTGAATGGATCAGAAGTCTCCCTTTCACTCTCATTTTGTTGTCCGCTTGATTCTCCAACTTGTCATGGTACATCCCTACATGCAAGCACTATTTACTGTTGTATACCTTCATGAAGCCCATATTCTCTACAAAAGGTCCTACCATCTCAGGCTAACTGCCTGAACGAGAGGAGCTTGAACGGCAATCAGATCGTAGTTCGCCAGGCACTGTGTTTTAGGGTTCAGGCTTGAGGGTATATCCCTGGTGCCAAGAGGTCCCTGTAGCTATATAGTATATACACCTGGGCAGAGTCGTAGTGATATGAGGTATGAAACCTTTTACTTTACCGGCCCTAGATATACGTACATATGTATAATATATATATATATATATATGTATACTGTAGTCTCCTTAGGCATGATTTCGAATTGTTACCGAGAGAAATATGAGTGCACAGAAGCATTGTAGGGGCCACAAAGCACAGGAATAATTTTGGCGCTGACACACTGCATTCGTGCAAGCCCTAGCCTCCATGCAAGCTTTACACATAAAATGGACGTATTCAAGGATTCTGGGGGACTATATGCCCCAAGTTTGCAGGTTTCAACATTGAACCAAAAGCCCCTGCACCCTGAGCCATGTATTCCTTAATCCTACACCCTGCCAGGGCTTATAGTAAGTATATAAAGCATCCCGAATGGCATCCATACTGGGCGCCCATAGTTCCCACCTCACATTACCCCCAAACCCAAAACCCAGGACCCTTCCCAGTAAAAAAATCCCTGAACCCTTCATCCCTGCCCCAGTCAGGGTGAACCGGTTGAGTGCATGATCTTCGTACGCTCCGGTTCCCTTGCCATGCCGCAGTCTCGGAGAGCTGGGTCTTTAGGTAAAGGGACTTTACTGGGAACCCCAAGCAGGGAACCCCAAGAATATAGTAGGTATATAAGAGGAACGTACTTACCCAGGTCCTTATAGTCTACTATATTCCTACGATATTCATAGGGTTCCCTGTTTGGGGTTCCCGACAGAACACTTTGATTGGGAAGAGAAGAACTCCTTATGTGATTCCACTTAGGTTTAGCGTTTAGGGCTCAGGGTTGGAGAGAGATGGGTTAGTACTTTTCATTTCATTTTCCATTCTCACTGTTGGGATTATATAGGGTTTATATAGGCATCATGGAAAAGAAATGAAAAGTACGATAATGGGTTATGTATGGCTTAGGGTGTAGGGAGCAACCCTATGTGATTCCACTTTGGGGAATCACATGAAAGACAAGGTGAAATGGAAGGCAAGGTGGAGAATGGATTGGACATGAAAAGGCAGACTGGAAAGGGACACAGGCTTTACAGTGTTTAGGGCTAGGCAGGGTGAAGCCCAAGCTATGTCCAGGTAATATCCCAAATTAGGGTCGCATTTTGGTACCCATAAATAATTGGTGCCGTAATGTAATCTATAACCAAAAGCCCCAATTTTTGAGAGCAACCCACACTTTTGCCTCCGGGCTGGGGCGTTCAGCATGCGAGGTCTAGATTGCCAAAGGAAACGCGCAGGAATCACAGTAGCAAAGAAGAATGGTAATTTGCGTGCGATGGGCGTGACCACCAACAGCATCACTGTCACTGCTTCTGTTCCAAAAGTCGACTCCAGCATCTTTCTTCGTCTTATTAGTTCTTAGCAGGGAATGACGGCAAACAATCCCTGCATAATCCCTACATACTCCGTCGTAGAATATTCTCATATTCCCATTAAGTGCAAGTAAAGCAAAGCACAGGTTGCGCCTTGTGGAAGTGGATTCGAGAGAGCCCTGCCCTCAGTTCCATCATCGTACTGGCGCTTAAGGGGAGGTCGGGAAGGGAGTGTAGGTACCATGCAAGGGGTATAAATAGGGGGGGCTATATAGGGATTAACTTAGGGATCCACTCCCCGCGCTCCCTAAGCACCACTAAGTCATGTGGGATGTACGGCTAGGATTAGCACCTTGAAGCCTTAAAACCTCAAGTGAGAGTGATCGTTGCTTTCGTCTGCGCGGCCTCCAAAGAATTGGCCTAGAACATATTATCCTGAATACTGTTGCAAGATGGCCATTCATTCCAGAGCAGAACTGTTGCGCCTTCATGCCATGCGAACCTTATTGAGGACATTGACAGAACAAGGCGGCTAGGGTAGGCGTTTCAAAGCTAAGGTGTGGGCTTTTCAGGCGTAGAGGTCACCGGCGTAAGGCTGTAACTGAAAGCGTACGAACGTACGAATACTGCCATCACAGGCATCAGCACAACTTCACCACTACACCACCGCTGTCAAGACTGCCGCCACTAACGCCTCCGCTTCCCTTTCCCCTCCGGTGTCCGAGTTACCTAAACCCTAAATAGTAGTTTCCATTTTCTTTTCCACCACCCTATATATCCCCAACACAACCCCATTTTAACCCCTGTATAACCCTAAATAATTACCTCTATATTACCATCACCACCCCGCCCGCTCCCCCCCACCACGCTTCCACGGCTACTGCCGCCACCACCAGCACCAGCACCA